AGGAGCGGCGATCGGCATTGTACATCCAATGGCGTGACATAATCTGTATTACACGACAAATTATGAAAACCTTGAACATAATTAAGTATTTTATTACACAACATAGATGACACACACACGGTTGATTAATTAACTAAGCCTGGCTACAACGTAAGCAATCCCAACTATCACTAAACAAACTAAAACTACAATGCACTTCACTAACATAATTATTTCGTGATCGTACGCAACTAAAACAGACAAATCATTCTTCTGTTGAATATCAATAAGCTTCTCCTGCTGGCTCACTACCTCATCAGCAGCAGCCGAATTCTGCACGCATGTAGCATAATCTTCCTCCCAGTACCAACCATCACATCCATTGCCCTCCCACTGAAATTAAAGTCAAAAAAATATTTAGTCAAAAATATTCAAGAAAAGCAGGTCAATTAGCCATAATAATTAAATGCGTAAGAAACTCACATCGCGATCTGGGCACTTGTAGAAAACATGACCCTTGTTGGGTCCCTGTCTCTTGACTCGGTACTCCATCACAATCTTCTGCTTACACTTACCGCAGATAATGAGAGGGAGTTCTGGCCTCAGTCGTTTCGCAACCGAACGAGAGGACGAGGATCCGGTACCAGTTGTCATCTACTTTCTATACTTATTTTTGCAAACTACTGTAAATTTCACATTTTCTAAAATAATATATTTAAACAAAACTAAAATTATTTATTTATCTAACTAAACCATGAAATATGTACTATGTATAATAGTAAAATACCAAACTATTAAGTGATTTTACTATTGTAAATCATCATGTGATTTTGAGCTAAAAATGACATAGAAATCACATAGCTCAAAAACATGTTTCAATAAATAACCATCCGTACTAGTTGACCTTGCTTACGTGATCATCTCGACGAGCATTTCTCCACCGGACGGCACCGTACTTGGCTAAGGAAGAGCTCCGATTCTACGAGGAAGGGAACACGGTCTTCCACGACCGTTGTCGCTCTCCCTCGTAGAATCAAAGCTCATCCTTGACGTCCGTTACCGCTCGGCTGAGAAAATGCTCGCCGAGATGATCACAGTCCGCAAGTTCAACTAGTACGGATTTTCTACAATTTTCTAACTATTTTCTAAGTTTTTCATTTCATGGAAAAATTAATTCTAAGATCACGTAAGCCGCCGGGGACGAGGATGGCGCGTGCTCCAGCGAGGACGAGCGAGACGTGATTTTGATGAACTAATTTAACTTTTGTTTATCCAAACATATATGCAAATCATCATGTGATTTTGAGCTAAAAATGACATATAAAATCATAATAAAGTCCAACATATAAAGTTACACATGCATCTACATCGCAAAATAAGATAAGCTACTGATAAAACATAAGATGATTAAGTTTGTTACCTCCAAAATCGAAGAAAAACACCAATGGAGGGGGAGAGAGCAAGAACAACAGCAAGCTGAAGAACAGAGGCAGTGAGTTTGAATGGAATGGCTCGGGCTCGGGGAGAAAGAAATGAGCCGTTGTATAGGCCCGCATAATTAGTCCCGGTTAGGTGGTCAAACCGGGACTAAAGATTAATATTTATTCCCGGGGTATCACCCAAACCGGGACTAAAACCTTTAGTCCTGGCTGGTATTACCAACCGGGGCACCTTTAGTCCCGCTTGGTAATACCAGCCGGGACTAAAGATCCCTGCCACGCGGACGACCATTGGGCAGGGACCTTTAGTCTCGGTTGGTATTACGAACCGGGACTAAAGGGTCCTTTAGTCCCGACGATAAAAAATGCCGAGGTTAATGTCAAATTGGGACATCGTTTTAAAGTCTGTTCTCTAGTAGTGTACGATGAAGATAGAAATGACAAAAAATATGATTATACTTCATATTATTGCTCCCAGCCCATCTAGATGTTTAGTGGTGCTTATCTGCAAAGCAAGCACTAGTACGTACATCAAAATATAGTTAAGAGGTGCATGCCACTGTTGCTATATGTGTGTGTGTGTGTGTGTCAGTTTATGCAGTTTTAATTTCTTCATGTAATAGGGAACCTTTAATTTAGAGGAACAAATCGCATTGCTACACATTCAACGTGATATGGAAAGTTACGCGCACCAGATAACTACTATTCCCTCAATTCTAAATTATAAAACGTTTTAACTTTTCTAAATACGTAGCTTTGGTATGTACTTAGATATACACTATGTCTAGATACATCGTAAAAACAATATATCTTGAAAAAGTGAAAGACCAAAACGTCTTATAATCTGGAGTAGTACATTAAAATTGGGCTCCTAGCTATTAAAACATGTAGTTGCAGGAACTATAGCAAACAAATTGCTGTACTATTTGATTTTGTTGTAACTCAGTATTTGCTAGCTAAGTAGGCTGAAAATTTTCTACTGCAGATGTGGGGATCTCTAACAAAGCTTAACCTTAATTAATTCAATCCCCAACAACCACAGCCTAACAGATTGGATCTTGTATATAATCTAATAAGCTTAAAGAAGATATGAATAATTAACAAAGACATGCATGATGACCTAAAGAAAACAAATACAAGTACAATGGTGGTCACCATCGATCGATATGGTACGTTCTCTTAAGCTTTTTTTATTGTATAGTGGTTGATACGATATAATATGATTGGTGGTAGCTGTAATCTTGTCGTGAGACTTGAGTCGGTATATACGTCCATGCATCAGGATGGTGGAGGACGGATGAAAAGTAAGGTATGGCGTAGCTGGCAAACGACACAATGAGCTGCAGTCCACAATACCTAGGCTAATGGAACTAAATTGCTATAGACCAACATTCGACGTAGTCATGGTGTGGCGGTGCCATGGTAAAGCTCCACCCTGAGACCAAGTGTGTATATCTTTTCATAACCCAAGTTTGCTAGGTTAGTTGTCGCCCATCAGCCACAACTTTAATTTGATTGGGGTACATTATTTGGCGAGACAGTTTCAAATATTACAATTTGTTCCATGCTAACATTCCCACCTGGATTTGATCATATTTTATCCTTGTGCCTGAGTTATATATTTTCCTATTGAAATACATGCATATCTTTGCTTTTTAGCCAAATTAATACCGAAATTGAAATCCTGAACGCCATCAGCAGTCTACAGGCCCGATGAACTACAGAACCATGACAAATATTCCTCGTCGTGAATGCTCGCTTTCATCTATGAGCTTGTATTCTCGATATAGTGATTATTTAGTAGTTATGGTTTCAACTTTCCCACAAAACTGAGCCAGTATGGCCTTTGATATTAATTTTATTATTATCCAAAAGGACAAGGATTATTTATGTTGTACCTACTGCTTTCAGTGTAATGTAATGAAGGTGCGTGCTTCTTTGCATTCATGCATGCTACGTGCATCCACACCTTTATGCATTATAAAGAATTCAAGATGCTGAGCTGCCTGAGCCTCGATCTTGCTAGCCAGTGGCGGATGCACGATGCGGGATAAGGGGGGCTAAAACAATGGAGATGTTGATTTGCATGAAGATTTAATGGTGAAATCAAGCTTTTGCTACCGTGATTAGGCTTGAAATCAAGACATTAGGGGGGGGCTGGAGCCCCCCCAGCCCCCCCCTTTGGATCCGCCACTATTGCTAGCTACTAGTTTGTGTGAACATATGGATGTAGAGCAAACATTTTCAGGTCAGGCACACATGATGCATCTTGTATATATATTGCGTTCTTCATGTGGGCACCTGGGCGGAGTGGGATTAGATGGAAATGTCATGGCCATTAGCTAGTAAGGAACAAAGGTAGACGAACATGATCCATCTTGTATTGTAGTATTTAAGAACATACTCTAGGATCTAAAATCCATATTCTAAAAAGTTCAAAAAAGAGAGTTAATAAAATTAATAATATGTTTATGATAATTACATATAGACTATGAGGAGTATCTATTATGTCTATTATATTTGAAAATAAACAAAGAAAAAAATATAATTTAATATAAGTAATTTTTTATTAGTTATATGCAGCAAAGAATAGCTGATACTTATATCTCTTAAAGTTTTAGCCCTTGTGAGAGCACGGCTTGATAGACTAGTGACTTATAATTTGGAACGGAGGGTGGGTAATTAATCTTGAATACTGTCCCAAGCTAGCTAGCTTGTTGTTACATACTATCACGCAGGGTATGTAAAGAACCCTTATTATTTCGTAATGCAATACTATGTAAGGAAGCTTTATTAATTTTACGGTCAAGTTGATAAATAAAAGGACACTCACTATCTTTGAAACCACCAACAATAAAATATACTCCAAAGCTTCTTTTCTTTACATTTAGAGAAGTGGTGTTTTTCATTCATGTGTCCATAATGGACTCTCAGTAGCTCGATGCCTCGACAGAATGTGGTTGGCGGTTGGTAGCCGACTAGCTGTAGATCTCGTCGTGAGTGAGAGCAAAGATAGCGGCACCAACCATACAATATAATTTGATGCTCTGTATCTATATAAGAGAAGCGTCCATCCGTCTACCGTACCGTCCACAAGCTAATTAAGGCTGTGTGCTTGTTCTGCCTGGTTGTAACGGTATGTAGTCTGTCATTCTCTCTTCATTTGCTGTGTTATTAAGCATTAGTATATATATATACTAGTTCGCCAAGCCAGGCTTAGTAACTATAAGAGAATGACGAGAAAAAGAACGAAGTTCAAATACACATAACTCACGAAAATTTCTTATATATTTGTCTGCGCTCTATCTCAGTTCACTTTCTAATGCCATCTCTTGTGATGAACTTACTCTATATGATTTTTGTATCCATATGTATATGTTTTCTTCCCCTACATGCTATGACACTTAATGTGTCTATAGATAGATAGATAGATAGATAGATTGTTTCTCTGAATCTCTCATGACATTAGTCCTCCTGATGTGTTATTTGTAGTTCTCTTTTTTCGCACTTCACTATTTCTAATTGTTCCGGTGCAGGGCTTATTGCATCAAATTCAGCAAGCTTAACGTGTGGTTGGATCATATGGGAATGGAACCCGCTGCAGCATGGGGACCTTCTTGCGAGTTTCAGCTAGCGAACTGGACCGTTGAAGAACCAGCTGCTGAAGTTTGGGCTCCAGCTGTTGGCCTACCTCTGGAGTATGCATCCAGCGACATATTTGGTACCTGCTGCAGCCTCCAGGCATATGTGCCTGAATCGATCGGAGGGCAGCAACTGGTTGAGTACAACTACTCTGCAGCCTCACGACATAACTGGTCGCCGGAGGCTATCGTTGTTGATGGGCAGAATCGGCAGGAGGTTGTGGATCAGCAGAAATTGGAAACAAGGAACGTCGTCTCCAACGACAGTTATGCTACAAATGTATTCAATCAAGTAGAGCACGCGTTCAAGGTTGATATAGACCTGATGGTAGAGAAGATGCATACATACCCTGCAGGACTTGGAGATACTATCGGTGAAAGTTATACCGTGCCGAGGATTGTGGCCATCGGCCCTTACCACCACCACCGAGGCCATCTCAAGCAGGCGGAGAAGGTGAAGAACATGGCTGCCATATGCTGCATCAAGGAATCTGGACACCTATTGGAGGAGATGTATGCCGCGGCCGCCTCCGTAGCGGACAATGTTCGCTGCCTCTACGACAAGGATGTCATGGCAGGTATCAGCTGTGTAGACTTCCGTGATATGATGTTCATTGATGCTTGCTTTCTGGTGCAGTACATGAGTATGCGGAGTCGCCAAGAAATAGATAAGAGCTTGCACAGTTTCATCAGCTTTAACCGCAGCAACATCCATCATGACATCAAGCTGCTTGAGACCCAGCTTCCATGGAAGGTGGTTGAGGCAGTGATGAGGTTCAGGCCCGTGCCCTTGTATCGCTTCATGGCTGTTTTGAAAGAATATCTGCAGGACCGTAAGCCTCCCAAAGAAGAAGATCCTGTGTCAATTTTGGATAATAGCTACAAACCACCGCATCTCCTTGGCCTCCTCCGCTACTACACTGTAGGAAGGAGCAGGTACACTTCCCATCGGACAGTGAAACCCAAGAGCCAATCAGTTTCCGTCAGTGCACTTGAGCTTGCCAAGATCGGCATCACCCTCAGGGCCAACGAGTCAATGGAGCTCATAGACATGGGCCTCAGCCAGGAAGGGACCCTCTTTGCGGAGCTCTCCCTGGCGCCCCTGACTCTGGACCGTGACCGTGCAAGCTACCTCCTCAACATGGCAGCTCTGGAGCTATGTATGGTCAAAAGCTTTTCAAAAGCGCCGGTTGAAGACTCTGCTGTTTGCTCCTACCTCTTGCTCCTGGCCAACTTGGTACACAGGCATGAGGACGTGCACCAGCTACGGGTGAGTGGTCTCCTGCAGGGAGGAGGGGGCCTCACCGACGAGGAGGCACTCCGCTTCTTCACTAATCTTCGGAATATGCGCCACGGAAGATGCTACAACCGTGTCATGGCACAGATCGAGATTTACAAGGAGAGCAGGTGGAAGGAGGCCAAGGTCTACGCGTTTTATTACAAAAACAAGAAAACCATTGCTGCGGTTGTCACCGGCATCGGTGCACTTGTTGGGATCATAGGGACACTCTTGTCAATCAAGAAATCTTTATGATATATATTAGCAAACATGCCCGTGCGTACTCAACATGTGCACCGAAATGGAACTGAAATGTTATAGTACAACATCCGGCGTAGTCAGGGTGTGGCGGTGGCAACAACTTTAATTTGATTGTAGCTCTGCCCTGAGCCCAAGTGTGTATATGTTGTCATAACCTAATTGTGCAATGGAAGATGTCGCCCATCAGCCACAACTTTGATTTGATTTGGGTATATTTGGTGAGACAGATTCAAATATTACAATTTCCACGCTAACATTCCCACCTAGATTTGATCATAGTTTATCCTTGTGCCTGAATTGTATATTGTCCTATTCAAAAACATGCATCTCTTTGTTTTTTAGCAAAATTCATACCGACTTTGAACTCCTGATGAAGACCAGCAGCAGTCTACAGGCCTGATGAACTACAGAACCATGAGAAACATTCCTCGTCGTGAATGCGTGCTTTCAACTATGAGCTCGTATTCTCGATATAGTGATTATTTAGTAGTTATGGTTTTAACTTTCCCACAAAGCTGAGCCAGTATGGGCTTCTTTATCCAAAAGGCCATGGATTCTTTATGTTGTACCTACCGCTTTCAGTGTAGTGTAATGAACGTGCGTGCTTCTTTGCATGCATGCTATGTGCATCCACACGTTCATGCATTGCAAAGAATTCATCGTAGATGGAAAACGGGCAGGCCTGGCCCCGCACGGCACGGGCCCGTCAAAAGCACGGCCCGGCGCTAATGGGCCAGGCACGGCACGCCGGGCCACCGGGCCGTGCCTAAAAGGGCCACATGCTTAGCCGACGGCCCAGGCACGACCTGCTGGGTTGTTTTTCGAGCTGGGCCGGCCCGAAAAGCACGGCCGAATCCAGCGTGTCGAGCCAGCCCGAGACCCACGAGAGAGGGAAGGGGAGAGCAGGAGGCAGGCGGCGGCCGCCGCCGGCGCGCTCGCCCCAGAGGCAGATCCGGCCGCCAGCGCGCGGGACGGAGACGGCTGCGCGCGGGAGGGAGACGGCCGGCACGCGGGAGGAAGACGGCTGCGAGCGGGAGGGAGATGGCCGGCACGCTCGCCCCAGAGGCAAATCCGGTCGCCAGCGCGCTCGACCTGAAGGTGGGGCCGCGCGGGGAGGCATGGAGGAGGCGGTCGCCGGTGCGCTTGAATCCGGCCGTCGCTGCTCGAATCTGGCCGCGGACGCCGCGCGGGGGAGGGAGACGGCTGGCGCGCTCGCCCCAAAGGCAGATCTGGTCACCAGCACGCTCGCCCTGGAGGTGGGGCCACATGGGGAGGCATGGAGGAGGCGGTCGCAGGCGCGCTTGAATCCGACCGTCGCTGCTCGAATCTGGCCGCGGACACCGCGCGCGGGAGGGAGATGGCTGCGCGCGGGACGGAGATGGCCACGCGCGAGGGAGACGCCGCCGCGCGGGGAAGAGGCGAGAGGCGAGAGGGAGCGGGTAGGATTTAGGGTTCGGGCTTAGGGTGAGGCACTGAGAGGGAGGCAAGGGGCGAGAGGGAGGCGGGGAGCTGGGCTGGGCTGAATGTCGCCCTGGCCTAGGGGCGCGGGCGCGCAGGGTTGGCAGGCCGGGCCGCCTCTTCCGTAGCAGGCCGTGCCATGCCAGCCCACGTGCCTGGGGTAAGGCCTAGGCACGACCTGTTCCTCCGGGCTGGGCCAGCCCGGGCCCGCTAGCCGCTGGGCCAGGCCGTGCTTGGGCCAGGCAAAAAACGGGCCTTGGGCCGGGCCGACGGGCTCGGGCTGTCTGGCCAACTATAGAATTCATAATGCTGAGCTGCCTGAGCCTCGATCTTGGTAGCTACTATAGTTTGTGTGAACATATGGACGTAGAGCAACATTTTCTGGTCGGGCACATATGATCCATCTTGTATATGTATTGCGTTCTTCATGTGGGGCGGAGTTGGGTTAGATGGAAATGTCATGGCCAATAGCTAGTATGGAACAAAGGTAGACGAACATGATCATGATATACCAAATACGCACGCCTACACGTGGCCTCCACTTTGACTGATGAATATAAATAGAAATAACGTCATAATCATGTATGGCCAGTTGGTCTGTGCATGCATAGATATGTTCAATAAGAGGAGCGACATGGGTGCGACTTCTTTTCTCAGCATCCCAGTTGCAAGCTTAGTCGTCTACCTTTGTCTTCTCTTCGGTCTGATTCTCCCCGTTGCATGCATTATTTTCCTGCTCGTATGTTAGCTTGTAGTTTCTCCACGACCTTTTTTCTTTCTCTTCTTCTGTTTCTCCATTTTCTGCATTTGTTCGGTGCTTGTTTCAGCTGGCAGATTGGAGCATGGAAGCAGCCGCGAGATGGGTACCATGCGACTTCGAGCAGGCCAATTGGAGCATGGAACCAGCTGCTGCCATATACACTACCGGAATCAGTAGCTTTGCCGTGTGTCCGGGGCACACGGCGAAGCCTAAAAAACACTCGGCAAAGACTTTGCCGAGTGTTACACTCGGTAAACGGCACTCGGCGAACAAAGACTCGGTAAAGCTGTCTTTGCCGAGTGTTTTTTTTGCGACACTCGGCAAAGAATTTTCGAAAAATATAAAAAAACCGTTGATGCGGGGGAGCTCACTGTAGGGGCCCGCGCGTTGCCGCCCTCGATGCGGAAGCTCCTCATGGCCCCCTCCCCGCCAACGACGACGCCGAGGACAGGACCCGCCACCGCGGCCACCACCGGCGCCATGGCCTCCCCCGCGAGATCCGGCGCTGATGCGCATCCGGGGAGCTCCCCGTCCCCACCTCTGGCGACGCCGGGCCCCAACGCCGCGGCCTCCTTTTCCAGCAGCAGCGGCATCGAGCCCGCCCCTGGATCTGGCGAGGAGAACTCCCCCAAGCTGCCGCCACTGGATCGTCTCTCTCCCCCTTTGCTGCTCCATGGGCACCGGCATCTCCCGCAGCAGCGGCCCGTCCACCTTCGCGGAGGACAAGGGGAAGGCCGTCATCGTCCTAGGCCGCGCCAGGCGTCGTCGTCGTCCGCGGCGTGATGAGGGGAGATTCATGGCGGATGCCCGCCGCCGGCCACCACTGCATGCCAGTCGCGTCCACTCCCCATAGAGGACCACGGCGCAGGCGCCTCGCACCCGGCAAGGCGCGCCCAGGTCCTCCACGCACTGACTGGGAGGGAGGGACCAGGAGAGGGAGGAAGGGGAGGGGCGGCGGCGGGGTGCGTTTGTGCGTGGGGGCGGCGGCGGGATGCGTGAGTTATATAGTACAGGAGCTTTGCCAAGTGTCCTAGATCTGACACTTGGCAAACTTACTTCTTTGCCGATTATTTTTTTTCAGCACTCGGCAAAGAGTTTGTTTACCGAGTGTAATTATTTTGCCGAGTATTTTTTTCGCAGCACTCGACACAAAGCTTGTTTGCCGAGTATCCGAGAAAATGCACTCGGCAAACATAAAAACACTCGGCGAAGAGCCGGTTTCCGGTAGTGATAGGCTCCTGGTTTCCCTGTCGAGTATGCGTCTACTGAGATGTTTGGTAGCTGCAACCAAACTTCTGTGCCTAGCTCTACAGTGGGGCTGATAGTTGAGTATGCAGCAGCTACACATCATGATCGTATTGAGAAAGCAGCACAAGAGTTTGAGGTTGATTTGCACAATATGGAAATGCAGATCAGTAATCCCATTAGTGTGTTTGAGAAAACAGCGCAAGAATTCAATCTAGACATCGACATAGTGGAAAAGAAGATCCATAGGTACCCTACAATGATTCGTGCTCTCGGTGATTTGTATACCATCCCGACGGTGGTGGCCGTCGGCCCTTATCACCACTACCGATCGCAGCTCATCCCAGCGGAGAAGTTGAAGCATGCATGTGGCTGCCTACCACTGCATCAGGGAATCGGGCCACTCAGTCCACGAGATTTATGATGCGGTGATCGCAGCGGCGGACGATGCCCGCAGCCTCTATGACAAGGGTGTAATGTCAGGTATTACCGATAACGACAGCCTACCTACGATGTTGTTAGAAAATTAGGCATTTTCATTATCAATTTAATTCAGAAATATAACATCAGCAGGTTCGTGACGGCATATATGTGCATGTGTATATCTCTAATGAGCGCTACAGCATGCATACATGACATACAGATGGATACAGTAAGAACACAAAATACGGTAATCACAGAGATTAGAATGTACCCAGCGGAGGGTCCCATGCCGAGGACATCAGAGGCTCCATTCGCACTAGTTGACATAGTGCGTTGCTCGAAGTCGTGGACCACAGTCGATGCAGGACGGTGTTCGCAGTGTAGTCCCGTGAACGGATCACCAGGAAGAAGACGGGTTCCGCGAGCGATCACCAGGAAGAAGACGAGTTCCGCTAGGAAGAAGATGTTGAACGAGCAGTCTCGAAATCGCTCCCTAAAAACCTAATCGCCGCACACCCCGTGCAAGGTTCGCAGGCGGACGAGGGTTCCGGAGGCACCTACTCTCCCGCTTGTCCGTGCGCGTAGAGGTACGGGATGGGGAAACCAGAGGGCTGCTGAGATGTGGTCTCTCTTGGGACTCTCAGAAGCGGTGCGGATTCGAAAGGACTAGACTGACGAAGGGCTACGGATTTATGGCTGCGACGGGAAAGGAGAAAGGCAGCGGAGAATCCCAGGAGACGGTAACTGGCGCAATCAGTTTGCCTCCACCATCAAGGAGAGAAACTCCCGTGATTATTTGGATTAAGTGGCAAACCCGCCTGCCTCGCCTCGCCACGCCCCGCGCCCAAGGCCACGGCCCGGCCGGCAGTGGCGGCGGTGGCGCGCGCGCGTGTGGCACCCCTTTGTCATTTTCTCAGCTTCTCAATTAAAATGGATAATTTCCAACCTTATAAGCTGAGTAAACGTTCAGTCAAAATTCCATACGGTGTTAAACCATACAACGCTTAATGTTACGTACCGTAGAGTTTTATTTGATTTTTTAAATATTATACGGGCCAAGCCCATAATATATCCAACAATCCCCAACGAACTCTAGGGTTTGTAACAA